ATACATACATACATACATACATACATACATACATACATACATACATACATACATACATACATACATACATACATACATACATACATATATACATTAATTTTTGATCGCATATGCGCGTTTACAACACGCAATACTCTTGACTAGTGGTGCCCCCGGACGGCCCCTCCTTGTGCAAACCAAAGGTTTGAATTAATATATGGAGCGGCACGCTCCCCCTACTGGCAATTTAATACAAAACAGGGAATTACATATGGGAATTCACTGGGAATTCGACTAATCTGAATTCGTGCGCAATAGTAACTGGCTTGACACAGCGTTTGCTGGTAAGCATGTCATCGTAGCATCGTTGAAAATTGTTGGCATTTAAAAGCGCACGAAAAACTATAATAAAATTGAAATAACCCTAATTACGCACACGCACGCACACACTCATGCACGCACGTGTACGTGCGCACGCGCGTATACATGCACATGCACACGTGCGCACGCACGCACGCACGCACGCACGCACGTGTACGTGCACACGCACGCACACACTCATGCTCGCGCACACTTACGAGATTTGGGAGCTATGCAGGCACAGCTGTATATTTCGCCGTCGTTGAATTTCTCTTGCGTTTTGCGTGATTGACGGAGCAGTTCTTCAGTCATTCTCATGCAATAGCGATGTTTCATGTGTAGCGAATTCGACCCGCTGTACAACATACACTATAGCATGCGTCAGCATTACTTCAACCTTGAAGACGTACGGCTTCGTAGCCACGTGGGCTGGCAGCGGATTGAAAAGGAAAGCCATGCTGCACCACCTGACCTATAGTTTAATTGGACGGGACACTTGCAGGTCACACGTGGGGGTCACATGACTGTGACCACGTGGTATCCCACAGCTGTATATAAACTGCGGCGTCCAGCTCCAAAGCAACACAGAGCCAGCTTGGCTCAGTCAGGGAAGCTCGCGCCCTTCCACTGCTCTCTAGCTGCTGGTGGCTTGTCCCCCTGCTAGCTGACCATGTAGAGTGTAGCGGAGCTCGGTAAGAAGTCTACGTAAGGATACACAGCGCAGGACGAGGATCACGCCGCTTGCTGCCCCCTTCCTGACGTAAGGATACACAGCGCGGAGCCAGCTCGGCTCAGTCAGGAAAGCTCGCACCCTCTTACTGCTCGCGCACGCACGGACGTGTAAGTTCACACGCACGCATGCGCGCACGTGTACGTGCGCACGCACGCACGCACGCAGCACGCACGTGTACGTGCACTACATAAACAGCGCTTTCTATCAGAACATGAGGTTATTCATTTGTAAATGTCAAGCAGCATGCTTTGCTTCTGCCAACCACAACACATAACAAATACACTTCACCTGATCTATGACGTCACGTGAAACATCGCTATTAGGCCTGCGCGATGGCGTGTGCATGTTTGCTAGTGAATTAGACCCGCTAAAATTCGAGACTCTTCGCTGGCAGCAATTGATCCGTGCGCCGGCCTTTCGATTTGACGCACGGATCAATAGCTGCCAGCGCATTATACTTTCGTAGGACGTTCCCGCGGTCGCGTGCGCCTTGCCGCGGAACTGCGCGCAAGATTTGCGCTTAGCGGGCAGGATCGACACCTCTCAGGCGACGCTTCTCTGGTATCCGGTCTCTCATCTGGACCATATCACTCCGGTCGCATATCCTGACCAGTTATCGCATCGCCGTCACGTGACTGTGATCACATGTAGTATGTGATACACAGTAATCGCATGTGTGTACAATATATGATGTGAATGTCGCGCGTGCCTGAGCTAGCACAAACTATCTCGCTTGCGAAGCTGGGGCAGTTCGACGGCATGTGCTTACACACGTCATGATTGACAGGTGTTGCTACCAGAGTGACCTGTAGACTATTACTAGGGCAAAATCTCCTCTTTGTGAAATTGCTAGGCGCCGTATGAAAAGTTTGGAGTTGTTCCAATTGGCTCTCTGCCTAGACACAACGCAAACTCCACGCCAGATGGGCGCTCTCGCTCTGGCTCAATTTACACAAATTTTCTTCAATTCACGAGGGAGGTATCCTGAGTTGTACGAAGGCGGCGCTGCATGCAGTTTGGACACAATGGGAAGGCGGGATGACCCGTGGCGTTCGTAAACGTTCATACGATCTGCCGCAAGATATAAAACGCGAGAAAGCATTGGCTATATGTATCGTATAGATTCTACGCGGCTAGGTACAACTATTCTATCGTATAGGTGCTATAGGCTCTACTCGCTACGATGCTATAAATCGCATCAATACCTATTCGTCTTGCGCTACCAACCGGCGAGGAACAGGTTACCGATATATGCTAATCGATAGTCGATAGTCGATAATCGTGGGTACCCCGAAAAGTACAACGCTATAAGATCACGATCAATACCGATTCCCTTGGGTATTCTTGATGACATGTCGACAGTATTACTAATGAATTCCTCGCAGAGTAAACGCATCACACGCATATGTTACACAACGACGTGACTCAGTGATTCTCTGACCCTCATGACTAGTATTTAGTATCCTCATACGCAACTTTATTAAGATAAGCCTATCTACTGTCGCGTTTAATTCCGTTGGCGGTTGGCACAAAGCTCACACAAATACTTTTGTTTAAGGAAGAAAATATGACGACACGTTACAGTCAGCAAGACGTCACAATAAACAGATCTACTCAAAGTTATAAATGAGTATATTGTAAATTTCTGCTGTAACCTGCCAGTATTTGCCCAGACATGTCGAGTAGCGAGTTATTTATAATTAACCGACAGGTGCGGAAACCGCGGCGCACTATCAGTTAGCACCAGCAGTTGGTTCACACCGTCGCATACAATGCAAATACACTACATGCTAAAGGTGCTGCGTCAATATTCACAAGATTAAGATATCTCGGCAGATTGTATGCGGTGACATCAGTTATTCCTGTCATTATAAAATCAGCGCCCGCTCGCGACTGCCGATACTGAATGCGTATTCAATCGCCGTGTATAAGCGTGCACTATGCCAAGTTACGTTGTTCGCCTCTCTCTCGTAGTGGCCGTCGTTATTGCCTTAGCGGATTGTCAACAGGCAAAATACTATGGGTATGTTGTCATTTCATGATTCGACTTGTAGATTTTGCCTCGTGCGCACATATGCATTCTGATTCAGTTTTCAAACATGAAATTGAAATATAATTGAACGTTTTTTCTCTATGTATAGAGCACGCTAGGATTTGTAATGCGGGGAATGTGAGATTATGACAAAAATTTGTACATTTTACGCCACATGGTAAGCAAACTGCGTGGAAATTCGGGGGTTACTAACGAATAGCACCATTAAGCATTTTCAAAACTACATCGTTTGGCAGTTTTGGAGTCAAAGCCTTCGAATGAAATTAAATAGTGTGGGCGTGTTTCTGTGCAAGGACTCTTACATTCTCTTTATACTCTGTTTTATAATGAAGTTAATCAATTATCACGTTGAATCATAAAATCGAACTTGAATTGCAGCTTGTCTTATCGTAGAAAATGTGTTTTTATAATTTGAACGATCGGTTTAATTGAGCTGTGTGTGACTTTCTAATCACATCGTGACTCGCGATATGTCTTTAGCCGTGGGTTAAACACCTTCGAAGACGACTATCACCGATTCCTAATTATGTCTTACATTGCTGGATCCACAGCGGAATGGTACAGTTTAATAACGAGAATACGCTGGAATAGCACATATAGACGGGTAACTCCCGCACAAGACGGAGAGTTATTTCATCCCGATAAAATCAAGGCACGCAAAACTCGGCAAATGTAAGCGGTACCTGTACATATATACCTTCCGCATGCGTCTGCTAAGGGCACATCTCCGTCTTTTTGGCACGCCACCTATCGCTTGCAAACAATAATTATTGTCATACTTGACATATTACACGCAGAATCTACACATACTCACACACACGCACACACACACACACACAACACACACACACACACACACACAACACACCACACACACACACACACACACACACACACACACACACACAACAACACACACATAGTATATATATATATACACAATGACGTTGAATTGTGTTTCGTCTTTTATAAGCTATGCAGGTGTGGCCGCATTATACCCATAAAAACCTGCTGAACTCGAGTACTTGAATCGGTTGGAGTCGCGGGTGAGTGAAATGTTATTGCCGGTACAGTCACTTCAGAGATAGCGGTTTAAAGGTTACCAATGAAATCAAAAATGGTCACAAGTAAAACCCTTTTGACGCTTTTTGATCGCCTAATAATCTACTAAATAATTTTAATTATGATACTTAAAAAAACTGTTTCACGTTATCTAGGTACGTTATACGGGAATTCGGAAAAGGTTTTAGTCTGACTTCCAAATACTAACTGATATACTTTTATTTTCTCTATGAGTACTTGGTACTTATCCGGTTTATAAAGATGCCTTGGGTATATGTGTAGAAGGAAATCGGACACACGTATAATAGGGCGGTTAAATAATCAACGTATATAATATATATTTGCTAACGATTAATACTGGACAACTATTGTTTTGAACTTAAGCTGGACTTCTGGAGTGATCTCCGTGGCATTAACAAACACGTGATATTATGCTGCCGCCTGTATTGGTTAGCCCAGTCCACAGCAAGGATGAAGCATGATGTCATGATTGATGACGTGCAAAGGTATTGCCTATATCTAAAGTAGCATCATATCGCAGGAAAAGAACGGAATAAATGTTATAAGTCGAATAATTCATTTTTATATTTTTGGGATAAGGAATAATACAATAATTAAAATCTGATTCTGTGAAATAGACCCATAACGTGATGAATAATAATAATAATGATCATCAATGGCTAAAAACTAATTCTTAGTCTCTACCTCTTCAATGTAGGCTGATGGACCTGCAATCAGAAAGCGCAGAGGCCAAGAGAATTTCTGTACAATCTGAAAACTATAACCTAACAATATACCACCGTCACAGAGAGGTGATTTTTTTAAAGAATAGTCCTTACTGTCAAACACCGATTGTTACAACTTCACCTATACATAGTATACGATAGCACTCAAGGTTAAACGTTATTTTTGAATATAAACAAAAACGCCTTGAATGGCCTATACCGGCGTTAACCAAGTAAACGTTATAGGCCCTGCATGGAAAAATAAATAGAAATGATTAAAATGTCGTTAAGTAAGTAAGTAAGTGAACTTTGGTAAGAAAACGTTTGTCGTTTTTGAAAGATTGACGACTGGATACGTTCTATGGCTGCCGAATACCCTGATATCGCTTCCATCCACAACATAGGCACGTCCCTGTTAGGGCTACCAATGAATGTTATTAAGGTAAGAGAATGCAGCGTCATGGCGCTTGATGAATTGCTAATTGAATTCCTACTGCGGTTGTGATTATTGCTGCTCTATATATGTCTCCGGCATCATACCTTAGATTAAACGAAATTGTATTTATACTGCGAATTTAGAGCAAATCTATTTTGTCGTAAAACGATTACAAAAACACCGGCGCATCGCGCAACACTTGAAAATATTATCTGGAAGAGTAAAATAGGTGTTGGATCGGCTGCACACATGCACTTGTATAGATTATACGTTGTAGGTGAGGTATATCTAAACAATCTATAATATTTACGACTTTGAACTAGTATGTATTATTTATAGCGCAGAATTTGTTACTTCTTAAAAGTGAGTCTGTTACAGGGAGAGACAAGAGTGCAGTTAATTGTTTTGACATTTTAATTTATATCGAAGATTTCAAAACCGACTGGACGACGGAAGCCTATCGTATGGATCGATTCTGGAATACATGCTAGAGAATGGATATCCCCGGCCACAAACCAATACTTCATTCATCAGGTAGATTACACACAAAATATTATATCGCATGATGTGAGAATTAGGGTACAGATAATCTCATGGAAAGCCAACTATATAGGACACGTAGTATACATAAAAATAGCCGATATATTTAAAAATCTGAATCTAATTGAATTTATTAGTTTCCAAAATCCATCTCCGGAAGGCTGTAATTAAATAAATGTTTAGGTAACTTATTGAAGATTGTAGTTTGAAAAGAAAGAAGGGATTTCTTTAATTGTCATTATTGGAGTAAATCGTACACTTAGGTTACTAATGGGCAGTTGTAACTTCAGTAATAACTGCCGTGAAGTGTTTTCCGCATGTGTACGTTATTATGTATTATTTTTATTATATTCGTTAGATATAACGAGCACGGAATCATTATTTATCAGATGCAAACTGTAAAGGGGCGGTACATCTATAATAAGAAAACCGTTCACTTTATACGTGTTACGCAGCTGTTGACCAAGTATGCAGAGGACTCGCAAGTTCAGAACTTTGTGGATCAGATTGAGTGGCACATCTTGCCTGTCGTCAACCCAGATGGATATGAATACTCTCACACACACGTAATTATTAAAATCAACATTTAGTCTTTCAATCGTTTAATCTTAATCTTTTATCATGCAATCATTTGCAACGTCGTGACTGCAATATCGTGAACGTGGTCAACATTCATCTCACTACTGCGCACTGTGATATTCGTCTCAATGAATGTTAGCGGCAGCACTAGAATAGAGGGATCTCTCTATTCATGTACTCCTAATGTTACGGGAGTCCGTGCATCAGAAGATTTAGTGTTTTTGTTTTCTTTAAAACAGGATCGGATGTGGCGGAAATCTCGGTCTGGGCCAATTAATGGCTGCTATGGTGCGGATGTCAATCGAAACTTCGATTTCAAGTGGATGGGTAATTATTACTCTAGGACAATGAATTTTGGTAATGTTTTTTTAGCTTTGTATCGTGATGAATTGGCGTCATACGCGAAAACATTGTCCTAGAGAATTTCTTTCTCGTTAATACATGTCTTTATTCAGACGCACATTAATCGAATTTCCTTTCCAATTAATGTTCATTATTTATTTCAAAGTGTTTTACCGATGTATTCGTCGAAATCTTATTGCAAACGTTTGCTTTCCGTTCTATTTTAGAGATCGGTGCCAGCAGTGATCCCTGCTCTAGTACTTTTGCTGGCACAACGCCAGCTTCCGAGATCGAGACGAGGAATTTACGTGATTACGTACTGCCTCTAGCCAACGATATGAAAGCTTTCATCACTATGCACTCGTACTCGCAGCTATGGCTTACTCCGTGGGGCTACACCTCAGAACTACCGTCGGACTACGATGATTTGGTACTTTAATTACACTATCGCCGAACCATTCCAAAAGCCGCTAATACAATCAAGAGTGTATAATATAGACTGTAGTCTATATAATATTCTCTATATAATTTAGTCTATATCATACACTCCTGATACAATGATGTGTTGCCGACATAAAGTCTAGCTGTTGTCCTAAAGCTTTACCCCAACCCGTTGTAAGAAGAAATCGCAACTCACGGCAATTCTGAAACGTTACATATTTATAGATAAAGCTGCAAAAGATCTGTGAGCGTACGTTAACAACAATACTCTCGCCATGCGCAAGGATAATATCTGCCGTTATTAGATTTCGCGTATCGGAATCAATTCATTTATACATAAACACAGACTCATTCAGTCAGCATCGTGGTGTTCCCTATTCACTGGTCTATTTGGCTTTTATATGCCTGATTTTATCCACAGTATAACCTTGCTGTGAAGGCAACAGACACTTTGACATCGATGTATGGAACGGAATACACCGTAGGATCAGCAGCAAATGTTCTGTGTACGTGCACACATCAATTTCCCGATATCCTATGCTTCTGTTTGTAGTAATTTATTGTATTTTTTAGTATGACTTAGGGGTGAGGGCAACAAATGCATTGACGGCAATACATGGTACAGGGTACGAAGTCGGATCGTCCGCTAATGTCTTGTGTATGTAGACAAACCATTACGCAATGTTCCACGATATTTTGGGCTAATGAAAATTTTTTGGTTAACTGTATTTGATTTCCTCAGATGTCTATTGTAAAGGCATGAACTCGTTTTTCAATTACGCATGATGCAATACGTGGATGCAAGCTGGCTTTAAGCTAAATGTATTTACTTCATGGGAAAATTTGGCTTTTAAAAAAATTGAAAGTTATCTCACGGTGAGCTTTAGAAATTTCATCTTACTAACTGCACATCAACTGATTCTCTTCATTCGCACAGACGATCGTGAGTAATCGTTATACTGATGAATATATAACATAATGAAACTGCGCTTAAGGTTTTATGTGCATAACTAACTATAAATTTGCCTGTACCTTTTATTTACGAGTAAAGCTCTACTCATAATAATGCCATTGCAGATGAATCTTCCGGGACATCGCGCGACTGGGCTAAGGGCGTGCCAAAGGTGAAGTACGTTTACACGGTGGAGTTACGTGATACTGGCTACTACAGTTTTCTGCTCCCAGAAGATCAGATTGAACCGACGTCTGAAGAAACATGGGAAGCTATTAAGGTTATCGCAAGTCAGATCATTTTAGAGTTTGCATAGAATAGTAATTGGGGTTTGGTGAGATTGCTTGCATATATCCAATTCCAGTGACAACCCTGGTACATTGGGAGCATATAAAGGACTACTAAATAATATTGACGTATAGATAATGTGTTGATTTTGGTGCGATCGCGGGATACATATCATAGGAAAAGCTAAAGAAATAATAAATAGCACGGCGTCAATTAACTGATGATGGCCACTGTATTACTAGGACGTTTTCCACTGAATATGATATATTGTCAACTTGGCAACTTTGTCAGCTCTTCGTCGAAATATCTAATGCCGTATTAATTTATTTCATTGTCAGCGATAAAAATATTTCACACGTTTTATATACATAAGAACTAAAACAATGACCTAACTTCTCTAGGAAATCGCATTCTTGTCGCAATGGTTTCACATATATCTAAGGTAGTTGTCCCGTAATTGGGCATTAGTAAATCAATGTTCATAACGCAGTTAATCATTGAATATATTCTTGTTTTTTTATGACAAAATAAACGTTTTCTTTGAATTACATTTAACACAGAATGTTCTCATATCCGTAGCTATGACTCTGATGTATTTGTTGTAAAAATCGTTGACGCAAACTTTCACCACTAAACACCTGGATAAATCGCGAGAGTTAATACCTGCTCTCCTCATTTATAATTTTACATGGAAAAGTACAACCAGATCGTTCTGGGACACACGGTTCACGCATTATCAAAGTTAAAATGAAATGAATAAGAAATTGAAGTAATATAATTAAAAGTAGCTTCAAAATTGTGAGTAATAATAAATAATTTGTGAGCATATATTGGCGTGTATAGTTTGTTGATGTCGTAGCTAATCCACACGATAGATGTCGCTGAATATATATATATATATATATATATATATATATGTGTGTGTGTGTGTGTGTGTGTGTGTGTGTGTGTGTGTGTGTGTGTGTGTGTGTGTGTGTGTGTGTGTGCGTGCGGTGGCTGCGCAGGTGCGTGGCGTGGCGTATGTGTGCGTGTGCGTGTGGCCGTGTGCGTGTGCGTGCTGTGCCGTGTGATGTGGGTGCGTGTGGCGTGTGCGTGTGGCGTGTGCGTGTGCTGTGGCGTGTGCGTGTGCGCTGGTGCGTGTAGCCGTAGTCGAGCTGCGTGTTCGCGCAGCGCCGTAGCGCGCGCGCGTGTGTGTGTGTTGTGTGTGTGTGTATGTGTTTTGTGTGTCTTAACTGAAATCGTCTGGCTCGAGATCAGAATATAGGCCCTCGATTTACATCAATGGTAGCCATACTCTGCCAAGAAGATTCCGGAGACAGAAGTACAGACCCACGAGAATATCATAAGTTTTTGGCTATATCCTTAATTCGATCGCTAGATTTCCGCCGCAAGAATTCTGGTCGCTAACAGCATCCGGTTTCCACATTACTTACGGAGAACACGACACAGCGTAAGCGTGACGAGATTCGACGACAGAGACGCATATTTTATTAGGTATCGAGACGAATCTTGGAATCAATTTCTGTAAAATTTAAGCGCTCCCCATGTAGGCAGATACAATCATCGAAAGTGAGACGAATAGGAAATCCCGAGTCCGCAAGTTCAAAAACCGCCTGCCGATATTTGAGCTATGCGTTAATCACCTAGCGGGTTCGTCCGTAAGAAATGTTGGTTTATTCCAGGATGCGATTGTTGTGCTTTGGCGCTGTGCCAAACATTTAGCAGAATGGGCGATGATTCTTAATGGCTCTAAGGATTGCTCCCTTATATAACGTCGCGAACCTAAGCGTTGCGCTACATTAACTTCCACTTTAGGCCCTGTTAAACTCAATTAGAGGAATGCAATTAACTTCACAGTACAAGATGGCCGTGCACATATGGCGGTTATCCTAAAGTAGTAAATATACACATAAAAGTCTTTATCGTACGATGTCAAACTATTGTTATGCATGCTCCGTGAACGTATTGTGTTTTATATAAGACCCCATATGTAAAGTTTCGCAGATCATTCTATCAACAACGTTTCCGCATGGTTTGCGCTATCTGTCGTAATCGCGCAAGCCATTGGGCAAGGCTGGCGGTTGTTGAAGTCATCTTAACGAAATAAGTTATTATATGTTTAGTCTGTTACAATCTATTAATTTTATGCAATTGATATTACGGTATTTACTTTTTTTTAGTTTTCGCATGTTTGATTGCTTTTTATATTAGTCCATGTAACAGTTATAAAAATGTTAAACTATCGCACGTATATATATGTGGCATTTAGAACGTTATCAGTCACCTGTACTAAACAAGCTAGCGAACATGTTCACTACATGAGACAGACTATAGACATGACATACGAGCAGATATACAGTTAACTGATTCGTGTTTAAGAAATGCTCAGCAAGAGCAATCGTAAAACAAGCTCAGTAAAGCCCGGCCCTTCCCCGGCCTCGGCTCGCCTCGGCCGTCGCGGACGGCATTTCATAAATTATTCTTTCATAACGTACATGAATTGCGCATAGGCGCGTGTTTCTCATGCGTATACTTGCTGTTTAGATTTACAGCTTCTGATAATTTTTTAATTAGGCTTAGCCAATAATGATAATTGATTATTGGTGATATTATAGATCATATGATATAAAAATTTATCGAATAAGATCATGTACATAATTTCATGATGTCAGAGAGGTGGCTCGCTAATATCTAATTGTAAAACCTGATGGAAATCGGTCAAATCGCATCGGTATCGCAACATCATGGTCATCACACCAACGCGGATGCGCTCACACACACACACACAACACCACAGCCACATCACACACAAACTGATCTACTCAGCCACGAGAACTCACACAGCATGCCACGATGCACACACGCACGCACGCACGAGCAACACACACACAACGCACGCACGCATGCACGCACGCCACGCACACACACACACACACACACCCACGTACACGACACACACACACAACACGACACCGCACACGCACGCACGCACGCACGCACGCACGCACGCCACAGCACACACACACACAAGGCGCTACTATTACAACGTATCAGTCGCTAATCCCTGCCCGCTCGGAAGAAAAAATTCTTCCGACTCAACTCTGTCGTAATGTTCATTGTTCGTTGTTATCTCGCTCTTGGCGAGAGGATGTCCCCGTTGTATCCGAAGCGGGTGCTGCCGGTAGGGAGCGACACCTCGCTCTACGTGCGACGCTGGGTGGCGGCGTGGCGCGTCTTGCTGCGCCCCGGTCGCACGCGCCTCCCGCTCGCCTTTGTCGCTCGCACGGCGCCCGACGACAGCACGTCGTCGCTGCGTTTGCGCACGGACGGCGCGACGACATCCGGCATCGTCGGCGGCGATGGGGTCTCTTCGGCGACCGTCGCGCTGTTAGGCGGAGCGTCGGCCATGGCGACGGCAGCGACGGCCCGGCTGAGCAGGGCGAAGACGGAGGCGACGGCCCTGGCATCGCGTATGTCGCCAGCGCGACGTCGTCGGCCCGTCGTCCGCGTAGTCCGCCACGTGCGTCCTTAGCAGCGGAAGCGACGGCGGCAGCAGCGGCGGTAAGGTCGCCGATAGTTGCAGAATCAGTGTCGGCGGTGGCAGCAGCGGCAGTAGCGGTAACAGCGTCGTTAGCACCGGCAGCGGCGGCGACAGCGGCAGCGGCAGCAGCAGCGCCAAAACATGATAGTGGCAAAACAAGTAGTGACGTCTGCGTTAGCGGCAGCGGCCGCAGGAGTGGCGTCAGCGATAGCGACAGTGGCAGCAGCGGCGACAGCGTCTGCCGCAATGGCTGTGTCAGTGGCGGTGTCAGCATCAGCTGCAGCGGCGGTGGCAGCAGCGGCAGTTGCGGTAACAGCATCGTTAGCAGCGCCAGCGGCGCCGACAGTGGCGGAACCAGTAGTGACGTCCGCGTTAGCGGCAGCGACAGCAGAAGTGGCGTCAGCGATAGCGACAGTGGCAGCAGCGGCACGAGTGGCGTCAGAGATAGCGGCGGTGTCAGTGTCGGTGACATCAGCAAAGGCAGTCGCGGTAACATTGTCGTTGGCAGCATCCGCAGCAGCAGCAGCAGCATCAGCCGCAGCAGCGACAGCATTAGCGACAACGTCAGCAGCGGCAGTAGCGGCGACGGCGGCAGCAGCGGCGAGAACATCCGCCCGCCTCTGCACAGCTTCTCGGCGCCTGCTCTCTAGCAGCTGGTAGCGGGCGCGGCGCTCGCCGGCGATGGCGCGACGCCTCTCATCGGCCGCCTCGACCCTGCAGGAAGAAGACTGCCATCAGCTGCGCTGTCTGCTACACTCTCACCGCTATTGCCGTCGTGCAACAATTATTTAATGCAATGCAAGTTGGTCGACTCATCAGGCATGACTTTTACATTACCTTACCCTACTATTACATTATTTACTCGCATTATTTATTTACAGTTACTTTTACATTACCTTACCCTACTATTACATTATTTACTCGCACTATTTATTTACAGTTACTTTTACATTACCTTACCCTACTATTACATTATTTACTCGCACTATTTATTTACAGTTACTTTTACATTACCTTACCCTACTATTACATTATTTACTCATTTCACACTAAGAGTTTTACGTGGGCAGAGAGGGGCACATACGCTACTAGAGATTCATAGAACGGCACGGAGGCTAATTTGCTAGTATAATTATGTTTATGTATGTAATATGTATCTTCACGTGTCTGTAATATTCTAAGGAAACACGGCAAGCAGGGACGGCACGTGGTGCATCCGTGACTTGAGGAAACGCGGGTCCCGTCACTTCTAGATCTAGTCTGCCGCCACTCACCGATCGCGCGCCGCTCTCTGCCTCTCCTCCACGGCTGCGACGACGGCAAACTTCCTCACCACCTGTGCTGCCCTCTGGGGAACTCTGGCTATCGTCTCGACGCGCTTCTGCAGGATGCGGCTGCGAGCGTCGGCGGCGGACGTCGCCCTGCAACGAATCGCTGTGTTCAACCTCACACACGTGTGTGTCAATGAGCTAAATATAACAAGGAGAGGAAGCGCCGCCATATCTGGCCCAAATTTGGGTTCGGCAGAGACCCTAGAACAGATTAGTGTTCTATTGTCTCTGGGTTCGGTCTGCACAGCCGTTTCAGCTGATTATGGTTCATAGATGGCGCCCTTGAGGCGAAAAACACACAGCCAATCCGCTTCCTCTCCTTGTTATATTTAGCTCCTTAGTGTGTGTAACTCTCCGTCGTCTCCCGCTCTAACCGTAGCGACAGATAGCGCGTCCTCGTGCTAGATTCTCGCTGGTTCTTACCGAGCGTGCAGGAGCGCCGCCGCATCCATCCTCCTCTTCTCCTCGGCCGCCACAATTGCGCGCAGCCTCACTGCATATGCTGCCCTCTGTGGGGTGTTCGCTGCTCGCTTTCGGCGGTCTACGAGGAAAGCGCTGCGTGAACGAGTGGCGAGTAGGGCCCTGTAACGAGCAGTCGTATTCATTCACTAAATACGCGCACGCAGTTTTTATAGTGTAAACGAATGACGCGTTATAGA